ATAAAGAACTCTGGGCGATAGTATTTCAACATCTACATCAACATCCTATTTCAACGACAACATTCAACATCTCCCGCCAAAGAGTAAAGAAGAAATACACCAATGAGCTGTTGAGATTTCACTATTCAACATTCATCATATTATCCTACGCCAAGGAGGAAAGAACAAAATAAATAAAGCTGATGGTTTTTCAACATTCAACAGATCTGTTCCAAGAGTTATCGAGAACAGGGACAGTATAACTATCATTATAGGTGTGACTAATATAACTAATGAACCTGAATACACAAACTATTTAATAGTCACACCTTTGATAAACATTGAAAGTTCAACAATAGAAAAAGCTTTAAAAACAATATGGCCGGTTTTGCATTTGTCTGTATACAGATTCAAGTGTTATGCTGAAGTATTATACGAGACCTCTACTGATGATAAAATTAACTAAACTTACACTGAAAGAGGCAGATTATAGCCTGAGTATTGAGTTCTACCATTGGACAATTTGGAAATTAAACAGGCAGTAGGACTGTACAGGGTTTCATGGGAAGGGGGCGAGGGAGGGGGGGTACTTGGTAAATACATTGCAACACACCTTGGAGTTTATAGCGTTAATTGAAAAATTCACTTTCTTGGTCAAAGGGGAGGGGGGGGGGGGGAGTTTTAGACAGGCCCACTCCAATATAGTGCATATGCCCCAGACAAGTATTAATGCCTGTTCTGTATCTATCTATTACAACCTGTTCTATCTATCTATCTATCTATCTATCCATACTTTGGACATTGGACAGGCAGCAGGACTGTACAGGGTTTCATGAGGATTTTACTCTATAAAAACATTGCAACACATGCCTTGCAGTTTAAGTGTTGGGAGGAAAATTCACTTTCTCGGTCAGAGGGGAGGGGTGGAGGGAACAGGCAACAGGTCTGTACAGGGTTTCATGGGAAGAAGGCGAGGGAGCTACGTTTACAGCAATAAATCTAGGGGGGCAAAAAAATTCTAATTGAAAACATTTGGCTTTTTGGTTATCAGGCATAAGTATAAGATGCTTTAAAGGTACACATACAGTTTAATTATCTTGCATGTACTATTGTTAGCCGCAAGAAAATTGATTCTCGAAAATTACAGAACAAACCACACTTCCAGTAATCAATAATGAATGAAAATCTCTTTATTTCCTGAAAAATTACATTTAATTATATTGGGTATACATAATGAAACAATATTCGTAATTAAGAAAAATCCTTACGATCTAGAACAGGAACTGTGGGTACAAATTAGGGTACAAACAGTACTAAAAGACGTTATTAACTTCTGAAATAAGATGACAATTAATTTTTAATGAAAGTCATTAATTCTTTGTTTAACTTTTGAAAATAGATTTACGACACGTAAGGCTTTGTTTAAATTCATAACTCCGTCGGAGAGAAGAAAAGAGGGAGGGGGGGGGGTGAAATTGTTTGGTTTGGTGTCTCCGAGAGGGAACTTAAGTTAAAGTAGAGAAAGTAAAAGACATTCTTGAAAATGAAAAACTCAGCTTAAACTTAAATTCTATGAGATGAAAAAAAGGATAGAGGTCCAGAAAATAGTTATAACTTGTAAAAGTTTCCGTTTTGAAAAAAAAGTATGAGTACAATTGTAATCTATATAATAAGCTCTTCGTTCATTTATGTTTGCAATGGCTGGCAAAATGGCTGATTCATGGGCGGAATTATAGTGAGGAAACTCATAGATACCCTTGGGGATGACATATAAGTTAAATAAATTATAAGTTTTTTGATCTTATTCAATTTTTAAAATTCCACGGGCCAAGGGCGTATACAGAAATAAATGTAGGGGGGGGCAAGATTTGCGCGAAGCATTAGCTATTTTGCAATAAAAAGAAAGATTACAAAATGGCGATCCAATGAATAAAGTGAATTAAATCCAAATAAAAAAACTAAAAATGGTCTTTTTCTACGTCCAAACTTAAGCTTTTGTGGCTTGGCATTTAAAAATATTTATTTTACTTTGCTATCCCTGATAGCGCCCATCCGATTAGGATGAATGTGCATTCTAAATAGATTTTTCATTCGGAATTCTGTCACGGTGGCTCTAATCCACGTCTACAATCTTCTAAGTGCACTGAATGAACAGAAAACTAATTTTTTTTTATGTTCTTCACTCTAGAGTTTAAGATTTGAAAAGTGTGAAAGCTCTTAATTCTAGGGTGGGGCACTGCACCTCTTGCCCCACCCCCTGTATACGCCCTTTGGGCTACTTGATACATACATAAATACATTGCAACCCACCTGGGAGTTTTAGCGCGTTAAAGGAAAATTCACTTTCTTGGTGGGGGGGGGGGGGGTGTAACTAACTTTAGACAGGTCCACCTCAATATAGTGCATATATGCCCCCAGACAAATAAAACAATTTGAAGCTACATTATTATTCAATTGTCTACCTGTTCTATCTAGCTAATTATATATCTATCTAATTATATCTCTATCTATCTATCTATCTATCTATGTATCTATCTATCTTTATATCTATCTATCTATATCTATCTATCTATCTATCTATCTATCTATCTATCTATCTATATATATATATCTATCTATCTATCTATCTGCATATCTATCTATCTATACAGTTGCTATCACATTAGAAAATCCCTCGGTATGAATTTTGTCAGTCCCTTTCAGCTTGAAATATGTATTCTATATATATTCTATATATTCTATTCTCTTTGCATATAGGCAAAGAGAATAGATTATAAATAGAGTGGAAATTACTCGAAAAAAGTGTAAAACGGCCATTTTGTTGTGCTGTTTCCAAACTGCAGGTATACTTCACCAATTTTGCTATAAAACCTTTTGGGCCCTGGAACATAAGATAAGATAAGATAAGATAACGTTCATTGCTAAAATAAATGTATCTGTATACAGATAGAGTTTACAATCACAAAATTGATGATTATATTAACAGTACAAGTATAAAGCAATTAGGTGGAAAATAGCTCTTGGCTGTTTTGATTATTTTTTCCANGTCTTAGTTGACCAGCAGGATATATTAAGGGAACACAAAGATAGAATTAATGATCTAGAGAAGCAGAGTAGAGCACAAGGTGACCTTCTTGATGAGATTCAACAACGCTCCATGAAGGGAAACCTCATACTCTCAGGGGTTGCAGGAAAAAATAAACCTAGCTTGATAAAACCTCAGGAGCAACTTAAACATTATTTTTAAAAAAAGTTTTTTGTACATTATTTGATTTTCTCTAAATCCTGTCATGCATTCCCGAGTTCATTTCAGCATAAGCTTCGATAAAAATCAATTTTGTGTTTTTATTTAGTAAAAAAACATATTTTTTAGTTTGAGGTAATCAAACAGTTAAACCAATATATTTGAAATACTCAAGATACCAAAATATAAAAATTGAGGATGGGGAAGGTAAATGGTTAATAACACTTTAATTTCAATTTCTTAACTTTTATACAGGGGGACTCATAAAACTGTGAAATGGAAGGAAAACCTTTAACCAATCTAATTTATGTTTGCTAAGTTTTAAGTCTTGTTAGAAAGTAAAACGGCTCTAGCTAAGGTGCAGGCGGAAAGGCTGAAATTAATGACTTATTGCACATTAAAGTTTCTTGAGGGTTCAGTTTAAGCGTCAAGCTTTTTTTAGCCCGAATTGGTTTTTTAAGCTTTAAACGACATTTTGGTAACAGTAAAAACATCGGACCCACAAACGTCGGACACTACAAATGTCAAACTGGTACAAACGTCGGACTGAGACAAACATATGGACCAGTAAAAACGTCAGACCAGTCAAATATAGAGTTTGAAAAAAATACTATTGCTATAAGAAATAATTAAAAAATCACTCACGTATTGTGTTGAAAATCACAGACAACTGAATAAAGTCTTATCTTTTGAAGGTGGCACTGTATAAAACAACAGACCAAAAAAGGAGTTGAGTTCAATTGTCACAAACTCTGATGTTGATCAATATGCCTTTATCTTTGCAACCTGATGTCTAATAACATTTTATAGTTCAACCTATGAAATCTATTAGATCAAACATAAGTTTTGAAAGTTTCAGAGGTTAATACCATTACCAGGTTGCAAAGATATAGGGATAAGAATATTTGAGTTCCTTTGGCTAGATTTTTATTAGACCAGTCGATAAAAGGAAATAACTTTTTAATAAAAAAATATCTTAAAATTCAAATAATTTTTTTCCTTAGTCCAACGTTTGTACTTGTCCGACGTTTGTCTCAGTCCGACAACTGTACTAGTAAGAATATTTTATGGCTGTTTGTCATACCATAAAGAAAAAGAAAAAATATTGCAAAACTGCAGACAAAATATCTATCCAAATTGCCTTCGACAAAAGGAAGCATATTGCATAAATCTTGCAGGAAATAGGCACAAAGAATATGACTTTTATGACGACCTAAAACAAATAAAATGTAACAAAATGATGGATGAATTTGGTGGTTTGCCTTGTTCTTTAAATGCTAAATGATTTGGAAAAGAAAGAAACAAGAGAAACATCAGGGAACCAAGGTTAACAGCAGGGAACCAAGATTAACAGCAGGAACCAAGGTTAACAGCAGGGCACCAAGGTTAATTGCAAGAACCAAGGTTAACAGCAGGGACCAAGGTTAACAGAAGGAACAAATGTTAACAGCGGAACCAAGGTATATAGCAGAGAACCAAGGTTAACAGCAGAAACCAAGGTTAACAGCATGGAACCAAGGTTAACAGCAGGAACCAAGGTTAACAGCAGAGAACCAAGGTTAACAGCATGGAACCAAGGTTAACAGCAGGGAACCAAGATTAACAGCAGGAACCAAGGTTAACATCAGGGAACCAAATTATAATAAAAAATGCACTAATATATGACATGAAAAAAGATGTAGAAGTTTAATAATTGAAATGTTTGAATGTATAATTCTCCTATTACATACATATTCATAAAAATTAGGAAAATGAAAACAAATATATTCATGTATAAGTTTTATTTTTTGCATTTCATAATATTCAGTTCTAATTCAAAGTTCGGACAGTAAGTGTGTAAGTAATTTGTCTTATATTTCTCTTTTTTTATTCCCTTCTTTAACAATTCGGAGGGGTTCCACCCCCTTGTGTTTTTTCTCCATATCTTCCTATATCACATGTTAATGTTTTTAAAACAAGAAAAATATTTTTAACATTTTTCTAAGGGACTTTTAGAATTTTTAAAACTTCCCTAGAACCTGAATCTTTCAAGGTAGGGGTCTAATTATTTGATAATGACCTAGCCTTGAAAAATTTGACTAGGGACATGTTTTACTTTTCCATTCTATTAATAGTTAACCCAATCTCAATTCTCAATCTTTTAAAAGAGGACAAAACTTTTGTGCTGAGCAAATCTTGGATCAAGCATTGATCTTCATCTTTTGCAGGTCTATGGATCAATTCAATTCCTTTTATCAATTCGGGGTCGTCTTACTTTGAAGGAAACACTTTGTCTGAGTGATCAAGAATATATCCCCAACTTTAAAAGTGTCCACATTAAACATCAAGATTAAAGATACTCCACACATATGTAGATTCCGATCTGGTGCATTCATAGCTATTCAATTAATTTTAATTTTTATTTAAGTTTATACTCAGGTAAAGGATGAAACTGTATCTAATTCTGGTAACATTATTGGATCTGTTCTTCAGCTCAAGCAAAGCTAAACAATATCTTGTGGAAACTAAAGGTATATATACTAAACTAGCTGAAGTACCGGGTGTTGAACGTGGAAATAAAAAAAATCGAATTTTATATGTAATAGCTGGTCAAAGAACTGGACCGAGTGGACTAAAATTTAATGCATGCCAAGTGAAACTGTTTGCTTTGTAACAACATCAAATACAAAGTATGTTCTGTCGTCTTCATATTCCACGGTTTTTTAGTTCTTACTGTATGTTTATATATTTCCGAATATCCCTATTCAAATACAGTTGGTCTAACTAAACAATACAAAGAAGACTTTAATGTTTGATTGTTTTTTATTTATTATCTTCTGATTTCAAATTCAAGGTAATCCTTGAAAAGTATAAAAATTGTTTTAATAAAGGTTAGAGATGGCCGTTGGTAGAGTAAGGTGGTGAAGTTGTTGACAGACATTCAATTAAAATTCTTTTAAAGAATGAATGCAGCAAATTATTTTTAAAGACGATATTTTTTTTCTTTAAGAAGAAACTGTTATGATTTTGAAAACACATTGTATTTTATTTAACACAACAAATATGACATATATTTATATTTTTAGATGAAAACCCTGAAGAAGATGTAAAACAACCTGAGAACCAAGTTCCGGTAAATTAAATTCTAGCTTTAGCTTGATACCCACAAAACTGTGAAACAAATAACGACCAGGGGGGGGACATAGTTATCTAGCTTCTACGCTGAATGGCTGTGAAGTGTACAGTTGACATTGTCAAATATCTCACCCTCCTAGTTTACTGGGTATCATTGAGTACACAGGGTTTCTGACATTATGTAGCTTCTACCTGGAGCCCAAAATTTAAAAGAGTATCATTGAACGAAACTCCCGAGTTTCCTTTTTGCTAGATTTTGATTTAAAAGATTCGAAAAAAGTATTGATATCCAGAAAACTGCCTAACCCCATGCATTTATGAAAGCCGGGTTCTAAAACTTGTTTTCAAAACGATACCCTGTCTTAAGTCTTGGGCTCTGAATGGCTGCTGTAAATTGAACAGTTGACATTGTCGAATGCTTCACCCTTCTAGTTCATTGGGTATCATTGAGTACACAGGGTTTGGGGTATTGCATTATGTATAAGAAAAATTTATGAATTTTTAGGAGTCTGTATGTACAATGAAAATATGTTTTCCATTATGATCCATATTTAAGATCATAAGTTTAGTCTTAGTCGTCTTTCTATTTAGCAATTCCATGGTTGCCACTGTACAACTTTATAAAATATTAAAATAAGCATAGCTTCTTCACCATAGTTTCAGAAGAAGTAAATATTTCCATTTACTGATAGCGCCGATTGAAGGATTCTTAACTCTAATTGGATAACGAGATTTATAGAAAGATAGATGTTATGTTGCTGCCATACTATTTCTATTGGTTCAGATTAAACAACAAACACATGACTGAACCCTGATTGGATCAGGCGCTAATGGACTCGGCATACAGAAGTGTCTTAACACATAATGAATGTATATTGATCAATACTTATATTACTGACACAATCTTACTACAATAAGCTTGTGTTTTTCCACCGTCTTTTAAAATAAACTTTTTAAAACAATTACATATGGCTGCCATGGCACGGGCAGACGGAGTACATTTGAATTTCCGAGCCGGGTCAACCTTTCCGATCTCAGTTTGTACAGTACCACCTGGCAGGGGTCAACAAAGTGTACAGGACTAGCTGGTGCAACGAGGTTGACTCGGTCAGACTTTAAACTTCTATCTGTTGAATTTACTTTTATTACAGCGACAGATCTGCGTGATGGCAATTATGACATTTATTGGATATAAACAAAAAAAATAAAAAAACTTTCAAGCCAAATTTGTTTTGTAGTTTGGAACTGGTGAGCCTGGTGCAGATTATAGTTTGAAATGGGGAAACGGAGACTCAAAACAGGGATAATTCCATAACTTTTGCTCAGACATATGTTTAAGGGGACATTAGTCTACAAACTATAATTTAAGAAAAATTTTGCATTAAATTATCAGTTATAACATCTTCTAAATCTAACATAATAACACAGAATTTTGATTCATGCTGTATATGCAATTATCCAATCAGAGGAAAATCAAGAAAAAAGGTATGTATATATATATATACAGTATATATATACTACACTAGCTGAAGTGCCCGGCGTTGCCTGTAAAATATTTCAAAAAAACGAATTTTGACATTAAAATATTTAGATTCTTTTATAAACCTATATTAGTATAACACCCAAAGTACCAAAAGTGTTCCTAAAACAATTTACTTATATTTTCCTATATTTAGGAAAACTTGAACTCTGGACTGGGTACTGGGTACAACCTTTAGGCAACAAACATTTTGGAAAATATTATGATTTTAAATCAATAAACATAACCATTCAAAGACAATCAACTTAACTATTAAATACTATTGTTTTATTTTCCAATCGCCTACCCACAAAGGATGAGACTTTAATGATGACCTGAAACTCCTAAACTATGCAGAAATGTAATTTGAATTGGGATTTCTGTCTCCAATATATTCTTTAAATAGTACTAAATGATTTGAAAGGGAAAGAAAAAAGTGTACAACTGCAGGACACAATGTATGTACCAAGAAAGACAGAATGTATTCTGTACAGTCGTCTCTGAAGTCTCATCCTTGGTGGGTAACCCTGCACTATAATGGAACCATATCCCACACAGCATTTTGTTTAATTACCGTTTAGGATGTCTTGTTTCATGTGACACATTTTATGTGTTTTACCCCCATACAGGTTTCATAAATAAATTAATGTTTTGTTTACATTAAAGTTGCAGTTTCAGAAAAATACTATTTTTCCTTCAACAAAACTCCAGGGGAGTGGTCTGGAAAAGGTATTGAAGAATCTTTAAGTATGATTTAAGATTTTTTCTGAATTAATGGAAAAATACAGAATAAGGCATAGATATTATTAAATTGATAATCGGATATTTAAAAAAATTTAAATACATATATAATTCAATAACAATGATAGTAAAATTCAGTTGTGCCTTGAATAAAGTTGAATAAGTTTTTCAGCTAGATTTCAAAAACTTTTTCTTTATGTCCCAAATTCCAAATCACTTGAATTTTTTATTATTAAAAAAATGATTTTGTTTTTAATTACCATAAAAGAAATTTTTTTCGTCATAAAGGTAATTTTTTTTTCAGATATTTAAAATATTTATTTTAGGTTCCATGTACCCTCTGGGTGATATTGCCATAACAAGTTTAGTAAGTATGTGTAATTTTTATTGATATGCGTGTACTTTGTTTTTGAAAAAAAGTGTTTTTTTTTACTACCAAACTTTAAACATAATGAGATTTCAAAAACATTTTTTAAATAGTTATTCTGCAAAACAAACCTTTGGAGTTCTTTCGCTGTGTAGTCTTTCTTTAAAAATAAAGTTATCCAATATCAAATTAAAAAATAAAACCTAAAAACTTCTTGGTGTAAAAAAAGATTTTAAGTCAAAATAGAGCATATAAAATGTTGATAGTTTGTTATAATTAAAAGCACAATATACAAAAAAAACTTTATTTAGCCGCCTAAACCTGGATTTTATCCACAGTTTTCCCTGGAATTCCTTTCTGCTAGGATGCACTGTAAGTAAGTAATCAAAAATATTTTATCAAAAGAATATTAAAATTATTTATGTTTTCCTTCACCTGTCTAGGGATATGACCTTTAATGTCAATGATGAAACAAGTAAAACTGCTTCAGGTATATCTATAGATGATTTTAAGGATGTACATGGATTGGAAGAGTTAAGCCTCATCAACCTTTCTGAAGAAATTCTGCACACATTAATTGGAAGTTGAGTGGGTTGCCTGTTATAGAGAAAATTGGTCATTAAATTAATTTTCGTTTTGGTAAATGTATAAGATTGACCAATTACTAAAAAATTGAAAGATAAAAAATTATAGCGTTAATATTAAAAAAGGCAAACCAAAAAAGCTGAAAGGATTAAGTTCAAAGATTGGTTTAGTGTAGAACGATATACATATAATCTACACTACGCTTTCTTACAATATTGTTGGCATTTCACTGCTTTTAAAATGACCCTCCATTTGAAGAGGTGTGAATGTAGGATTCACAACAATGCCATATTGAAAACTCTAACCAAGTGAAAATTAAGTTTTTATCCTTTTTATATCTAAAGAGTGTTGAGTTCTGTTAATTTCTTTACTGTCTAAAGCATAAATGCGCTAGTCACTTTTAAAGAAAAACAACAATATAATCAATTTTTAATCAAACTATAATAATACAATCTCATACATTCTTGATTAGAGAAAGATTTTTTGGGGTATCATTGTTAAATGAGCATATCACTTGCAATTACAGCCCCTGTTTGATTGCGTAGGTAATCTGACCTATCAGGAGTGTATCTACAATGATGGATATAAATTGAAGAATGATCATGGAACTTGGAATATGCAGGTTAAAATAAATACAAATCATCTTAAGCCAGTTTTAAATCCTCCAGTTTCAAAACATCTAAGTATCAGTTTAAGTGATTATTATATACTAGCTATAGTGCCCTATTTTCTTTTACCATAACGTCTGAAAAATCGTTGGAGGTTTCTAGTTTAAGACAATTACCATAAGCTCAAGATCCAAACACTACGGCTAGGACAGGCAGCTTATTAGTAAGTTAATGCTTGAGTTATGTCACTCTCCTGTTCTAACAAAAGTAAAACCTTTATAAATTTGAACCTAGGAACAAATCATAAAATAAGACATTCATAGAAATATGTTCCCTATAGCCGGCCAAACAGCTGGAACGAATGGGCTGACTTTTTTTGAGGAAACCCAGGGTTAAACCAGGGGTACACACAATCTCATCAATTTTTAAGACAGGGTCGACTTTGAAGTGTAGCAAATGCCTTTGGCTCTGATTTCACTGCTCTAACACGCTTATGCTTTTCTGTAGCCCTTTACATGAACATTGTACCACTGAAAAGCACTTGTTGTTAGCTTTGGTTTTTAAGAAGTAATTGGCAAAATTCTCATCAATTTTTGCCGGAGAGCGTGAGACATTTAAATCACAGTGGGTAACATAGGCTATTCAATTCAATTTTTTTTAATTCCATGGGCAAGGCAACTTTAGCTAACATATATATGAATTAATATGAATTATTTATAATTTTTAGATGAAAACCCAGACAAAGATGTAAAACAACCTTAGACTCAAGTTTCGGTAAATTAAATGCTAGCTACAGTAAGACCCATTAAACCCTGGAACAGAAAGACGACATATTAGAAATCCTATTTGTGCTAAATATTGACGTAATGCAAATCATTTCACAAGTTAATTTTAATTAACTTATTAGTTATATAGTCGGTCTGTACATACAATAACATAAGTTGTTTATCCATGAAATCATAAATTGTGTTTCATAGTCATCTTTATATTCCACAATTTTATGGGTCCCACTTTATATAAAATAGATTTGAAAGAAGTTAAAAAACTAAAAAACTAAAAAATTATAGAAATTTATACCCCTGGGGAAACTCACAATCCTGAAGTGGTTGAAAGTAATTTTGTAAAATAAATTATATTGAAAAAGTAAACTTTTTGCATAATTATCAAATTAGTTGTTTTCTTTGATAGTATTATAATGTCCAGAGAACAAAACTTTGAATTTAACCCTAGATCAAGTAGTTATCAATATTCTCTGACATTCAAAGGTTTAAATTCCTGATTGATATCAATTCAACATTTAATCGTCAAATATGGACAGCGCTGCCTTACACAATACTTATGACCTCGGCATTTTCATAAAGGAATTGAGTAATTGCAATAAATTTTGATTTTATAGTCTTTAAATATTTGCAACTTAATATTATAGACAATGAATTCTTTTGGATCAAATAATCTCAATTTGAAATATCTAATATATCTAATATCTAATATCACATTGCAAAGACATAAGGATTAGAATATTTGAGTTTGTTGTGGCAAATGTAAGGATTTTTTTTCTTAGAAGAATCTTAATTCCAATACATGTCTGATTCATAACAGTAACTTTTACCTCCTCTTTAACTGATTTGTAATAAAACAAGATATCCTTGTAGTTTTTTGTATTGAAAAATTATAAATTCTCTTGATATACATATAATTTCATTCCTGCATGTCATTTTCATATTATATCATATTCCTCATATCATACTTTTATTCAACTACAAAGCGTGAGATAATACAAATTAGAAATCACTATTTACTATGTAGTTTGGACCCGCCTAACCAGAGTAGGTTGTTTTAATTGGTTGGCCCTTTATAAGAGAATAAGAATTGTAAATAAATACATTGATGTACACTGTTCAGTTTATAGTGTACATTTTAAACAGAACAATGATGATAAATCATGAAAAAGGTAAGCAGGTGGTGTAGAAGTATATGGGAGGGTACTCAGCGGAAGGGTTGGAACAGAGAGTAACATTTTATTAGAATCATGTTTTTGAGCTTCAGGGTGAAGAAGATAGTAAAGACTAAATTTATCCATATAAAACACATTTTTTTACAGATATAACTTGCATGCCAATCTTAATAGTTAATTCTTGGCGACATTTCTTTTATACAATTTTGCAGATTAAGTTTCTTTAAGCTTTAATTCAATCAAATTCCATAAATTTCAAAATAAAGCTGAGGGAAAACATTCTAGCGTTTTAAAGAAAACCCTCTCAAGCTTATATTAATTTGTTCTATTTGGTTCAGCTAAAGAATTAACCATATCATGGAAGGAAGTTGGAAGGTTTTCATAAAAGTATTTATGCATAAAAGATAAAACACCTAGTTTTGTCGGGATAAGTTAATCAACAAATTCAAACTATATGGAAGACGATCCTGGGGAATATTTTCTCAGCCTACTCACCATTAGTTAGGATTAAACTGCTGACAAGAAAACATCTCCGACTCAAAGGAGGGACGCCTAACTCCTTTATGTAGTAACAAATACCTATTCTTGCGGGGGATGCTGCTAATATTTACGCCAAAGCTGTGATGGTACCAAAGCAGTCATAATCGGCTCATCACCCTTTCAGGGACACCAATCAACAAAGCTGTGATGGTACCGAACCAGAAACCTGTCTACAGAAAGCTTTCCCTTACATGGGAACTATTTATAAACTTTTATTTTCCGATATTCCAATTCAATAAAGTTCGGAATAGGCTATTATTTCTTTTTATTTTGACTGTATGTCAACAAGTTTATATGTATCATTAAGATTTAGAAGTTCTAATCTGAAAAATATTGGATCTGAATTTGCCTTAAATGATCCATTATTTACTGCTCTAATTGGCCTTTTCTGCAAATATTTGATTTTCTGTAGTTTACCATTTTTTTGCGCTCCCCCCCCATGTTATAATTCCATACTCAATATGTGGCCTTACAAGTGCATTATAGACTAGTAAACAAATGTTTAATGGTAAAATGTTTTCAATTTGAATCAGAGCAAAAATCTTTTAGGAAACATGTTCAAATTGATAGAATTTAAGAATTCATCATTTTTCAGTCCAACAAATTTAAAATATTTATTTTTGGCATCAATTAATAAAGTTTCGATATTTGGAGATGATTATAGAAAACTAGTTGTGTCACTTCATAACTTTTCCTCATAAAAATGTTATAAAGTCTACAAACTATTTCAGAAATATTTTGTTCTTTAATAAATTATTAGTTAAAATATTTTCTAAATCTAATAGTTTATGGTATAAAAACTTCAGAATCATATTACTTTAGATGATGTTGCTTTCTTACTTCGATAATAAAGATTATTTTATATACTTTCCTTATTTTTTTAAGGCTGTGTTTTGAAATTGAAAGTTTTTTTGTTGCTTACCCAGCTATCCAAATTGCATAAGCAACGTAAATGCATAATATTTTGGCTCCAATAACGCAATTAAAACGCAAATTTGCGTAAGTCTAGATTTTAAATTAGTGTAAATATCTAATTTTTCTAAAGTAAATATTTTATAACCCAGCTTTAAGTAAAAATATTATGAATTTGTGGAGATGTGTATCATTTTATTTCAGGTATACAAATTGCGTAAAAATACGCTAAATTTGCATAATTGCCTAAAACTCTAAATTTAAATTATTTGTGAAAAATCTATAATTTACGATACGGCATATATTGCATTTTCGAAAAAAAATTGAAAAAATAAACTTTTAAAAAAATTTAAATTGTCTTTGTTAGCATTAAAATTGCGTAAAAATTGCGCTCTTTTTAGGCATATGTTTTGAGTGTTATAAATATTGAAGAATTGAGTAGCCCAGGTGTGTGTGCACTGTGCAGGGTGCAGCAATATATAATAATATGTTATATTAAATAGAAAGCCATGTGATTTGTAGATAAGAGTGGGAAGGGGGGGGGAGAGAATTTAAAGCGCTACATAGCACACTGGTTTTCAGTACCAAATTTCACCGCAAGGTGTCTCTGTTTGGTTCACATAAAATTAAAAAAAAGTAAAATGGTTCAGATTAAATTTTTTACTAAAAGTATATCATTTAGCAGTCAAGATTTAGGTTTTAAATTATTTTTAATTTTTTTAAATAAAACATTTTTATTAGGAAAATGCATTGAATTTTCTATCAGAAAGTTTTATATAGCTTTTATAAATCACTACTAATTTTAAAGCTAGATGCAGTAATCTCTATGTTAAATTGTATTCCCTGATGAATGGAATCAGTTTAGAAAGAGATACTTATACTGCATCCATCCATTTAGGGATGGATGACCTATCTGCATGCATCAAATTTGGTTAGATTTAGCATAACTTTTGTTAAAAGAGAAGCGCATTTTCGGCGTAAATTTGTATAATATTACTACGTAAATTTTTCGTCTACTAAAACCAATAAATTTGCGTAGCTAAGTGTGCAATTTTACGTCTTTCATGACTTAAAAAAAGCCAAAATGTCTACGCAAAATTTACGTAAAAATGTGAAAAGTGACGTTTAAATTGCGTTTTTTTTGCCCAATTTGGCTAGCTGGGTAAGACATTTTGCATAAATTTGATTTTACATCTTGAATCAAAATTAGAAAAATGGTTCTTTATAGATTTATGACCTCTTTTTGCAATAATGAAATATTTCCTCTAAGATTAGTAACTGTCTCACAGTCACAGGGTATCAGGAACTGAATATTTATTTGATTTTTATATTGATCTTGAGTTACAATTTTATGGTTTGAATGCCAATGCACAGCGTAACCTTAATTAGAGTAATTTATTGAAGTTAGAATTTAACAATTTCTTGGGTTTAATCCTAATCCTAATACAGGGAATTAGTCTTTAACTTGGAAGTCATTATTTCAAATATCATAACATGTGAAATTGTATATAAAATGTGGTGGCTTCATCTTTATGAGTATTATATTTTGTATTTAAGGTTTCCTTTCAAATTTGGGCTCCCAGTTTGGAACTCTAAAATTACCTTTTTTGATAAATTTTAAAGGTTCAAGAAGGTATTTTAAAAAAATAAAAAATTCTGGAATGGAAACTGCATATTCTAAAGTTTTCCTTGTGATTACCAAAAATTATCCAGATTCAATTACATATACAATTATTGAAAATTAAATCTGGTTCAGCCAGCATTTTGGTATTTGTCTGGTATAAATTGTCAAGTTTGGATTTAATTTTAGACAATAAAGCAGTAAGGGATAGAATTAATCAATTAAAGGGAAATGGTTTATTAGCTCTAAACAATGGGAAACAGCAAGGTTTGAAAATATATTTTTCCTTTTTAATTTTCAACTCGAGACATCAATCAGAAATGTTGATTTTTTGGCCATCGCCCCCACATATAATCTGCACCTTTAGGCTCACCAGTTCCAGACTACAAAACAAATTTGGCTTGAAAGTTTTTTTATTTTTGTTTATATCCAATAAATTTCATAATTGTCATGACAGCCGTATGTATTAATAAAATAAATAGATAAAGAATAAAAAATATTTTGTTTTAAAAGCAGTGGAAAACGAAAGCGTATGGTAGTAAAATTTTGTTTAGAATTTGAATCAGTAATGTAAGCATTGATCAATATACAATACATTTATTATTTTTTAAAAAGCTACTTATGACTAATTTAACAACTTCTTTCAAATATATTTTAATTATAAAGTTGTACAGTGGCAACCATGGAATGCAGAATAGAAAGACTAAACTTATGATTTCAAATATGGCTCATAATGGACAACATATTTTCATTGCATGTACAGACTACTGGATACTAAAAAGTTAACTTAAATTTACTTGGGAAACAACTTGCATTTTATTAATATTTAATACACATAAGATTTCTTATATGTTGTCTCCCTGTTTTACAGTTTTATTGGTCTTACTGTAGCAAGCATTTAATTTACCGGAACTTGATTCTCAGGTTGTTCTACATCTTCTTCTGGGTTTTCATCTAAAAATATAAATAATTCATACCTGTTGTGTTAAGTAATATACAATGTGTCACATCATGACATTTTCATCTAAAAGTATGGAAGCAATATTGCATTTTTAAAATAATTTTCAATATACATTCTTAAAACAGACATAAAGTGAATGTTTGTCATCCAATTCAATTTATCACCCTACTCTACCAACTGCCATCTCTAACCTTTATTACAACATTTTTATTGTTTTCAAGGATTACTTTGAAATAGGAAAATAAAAAAATAATAAATAATCAAAAATCTAAATATTCTTTGTATTGTTTAGTTAGAACAAATATAGAAGAATTCTAAAATATATAAAAATGCAGTGAGAACCAGCAAACTGTGGAATATGAAGACGACTTAGCACACTAATGTGTTTTTGATGTTTTTACAAAACAAATAGCTTTACTAGGCACTTCTCAAATTATTTATTGAGTGAAATTGCTCTATACACACTCCATAACTGCTGTGTTTTGTGTTATTTGAGTATTTCACGTCAAAAGGAATCAAGTCTTTGCAACAAACTCTGATTTTCTAGTATTGTTCAAACCAAACGTCGTAGACCTTAGATATTTTAAACTATCTTAGCTCAACTTATCTAAGTTTGAATTATCAAATGTTTACAGCATCAGGTCGCTTAGAAATTGGAATTCAAATATCTAAGTACATGGCAAAAACTCAATTCCTTTGGGTCAGCCAACAGCCAAGACCCAGACACACAAGCAAAGTATAAATATACCAGGCTTTTAGGGCACTTAGCACCCATTTTCTATTTCAACTTTTAATTGTGGCTTTATCTTAGAGCATCTTCTCTTTGTAAAATATAAATTAAATAAAAGTTTGCGGATTTAACAATATTTTTTGCGCATTTTCAAAATTTACAAAAATAAAAAACTTTTAAGCACACAAATTTTTAAAATTTTGATCATTCATAAACATTCCCCAGCTCATGTGTGGTCCCACCTGATATTATGAAATCATATTATGAAATCTGCAATCTTTTTCATTTGTTTTTGTTTTATACTGTTCAAAGAGAAGATGCTCAAAGATAAAGTCACAACTAAAAGTTGAAATACAGGATGGGTGCAAAGCGCCTTAAAAGCCTAGTATAGACATATATAATATATATGTTAGCTATAGCTGGCCAAACGGCTGAAACAAACTGACTAATTTTTTTAGGAAACCTATGCATGGACACTTTGTTAAAATTCTATTTTAAAAAAAATTCCACATGGCAATGCCGGGCAGTTTAGCTAGTATAGTAGAAATACCTATAGTTTCCACAAGGAAATGTTTAGCCACACCAGAACTAAAGAACAGAGCCAAAAATGTTACCAGAATTAGATACAGCTTCATCCTTAAATTTTTTTAAATTGTAAACTTGAATAAAATGTTGAATAAAAATGAAAATGAACTATTAAATAACCATAAAATTTTTTCTTGCAAAGTATGACCACCCCCGGATATTTAAGAGGAATTAAATTGATCCCTAGACCTGCTTAAGATGGAGGTCAATGCTTGATCTGAAATTTGCATATAACACAAAAGGTTTAACACTCTTTTAAAAGATTGAGAATTGAGATTGGGTTAATCAATAAATTATCAGGTTAATTAGACCCCTTGCATTTAAAGGTAAGGGTTATAGGGAAGTTTTTAAAATTCAAAAAATCCCTTAGAAGAATGTTCAACATATTTTTCTTGTTTAAAAAAACATTAACATGTGATAAAGATATTTAAGTTGTGGAGAAAAAAACACAAGCGGGGAGGTGGAGTCCTCTGACTTGTGAAAGGGTTAAAGAAGGAAATATAAGAAAATAAAAGAGGAAAATGGTAAAAAATTACTTTCACGCTTACTGTCCAAACTTTGAAGTACACTAGGACTGAAGATTTTAAATCAAACCTTCAGAAGAAAAATTAAACAAAAATAAACTGCTAATCATAATTCCTGAAACAAAACAAAAAATATAAACATACAGCGTAATTAAAAGTTGTACAAACCTCTTTTTTTCCCCATAAATATTATATATATGTAATCGGAAAATTAATTTACGAGTTATACAATTAAAATTTTTTAGTATTAAAATTTTTTTTTATATCATGACAGTAGCAAGACAACTTGAAAGTTGTATGAGAAATTTGAATTTATTTTTGATATTCAGTTTTCAACCTACTTTTACATGTATCATTGTTGAAAAAATAACCACACAATTCTCCTAATCCTGGTTTCCTGCTCTTAACCTTGTTTTTCTCTTTTCCAAAATGTTTATTGCTGCAATACTGTAATAATTATATTGATAGAACAAATTAAATGCTCTACATTATTCAAAAGTAATTTCTACAAGCCACTGTATCTCAGTGGCAGGGTCTGTGCACCATTGATTTTGACATGACTGAAAGCCTGACATTTCTTGACCTGGTTCTACGACCAGTGGCAGATGCCTTGCACCTTATTTCGCAACATCAGGAGGTCTGTGGTAATCCAGACATTTATTGTATGCAAGAAAGTATGCATGGGTTACATTTTAGTGCAGGGTTACCAAGCAAGGATGAGACTTCAGAGACGACTGTATAGAATGCATTCTGTACAAGGGCAACGATGGGCACTTCAGCTGGTATAGTATATATATTGTATGTATATATATATTTATATACCTTTTTTCTTCATTTTCCTCTGATTGGATAATTGCATAAAAAGCATGAACCAAAATTTTGTGGAATACTCGCATAGAGAATAGAATGTATAGAGAGGAATTTACTAGAAAAAGTGTAAAACAGCCATTTTGTTGTACTGTTTCCATACTGCAGGTATACTTCACATATTTATGCTATATAACCTGTTGGGCCCTGGAATATCATTTTATAGAAAATCTAAAATTATTGTTAAAAGAAAACCAAATTATGAAAAAGGCTGGTTTCATAATTGACCAATAATCATTTCACATAGACTCTATGCCTTCTACTTTACAAACGATGATTTTCTGTTATAACTATAAATCAAATGATGTTTTTATTCACTTAATTCATTATAAAGTTTATTTAACAGTTTAAAAAATTCGAAATTGAAATGGATAGTCTAGGGAACATACTGTAGTAATGTACTCTACTGCATATAATTTGTGAACATTTACATGATTTGTACACTTTGAACTGCCTTTCAGGCTGAAAGGGACTGAAAAAATTCATACCGAGAGATTCTTTTAATTCCTCTCTATATATTCTATTCTCTATGAATACTCCACATTAAAATATAATAATCGTAAAAGATAAACCCACCTCATTATAAATACAATTTCACATGATATGACATTTGAAATAATGGCTTGAATGTTAAAGACTAGTTCCCTGTTTTAGGATTAGGATTAAACCACAGAGAGTGTTTAATTCTAATTCTTCGATAAATTACTCTAATTAAGGTTTCACTGTGTCTAGAAATTCAAACCATAAAATTACAACTTTAGTTATATCTACAAAATTACTTAGATATATACAATCTAGTGAGAACCTGATAACTGTGGAATATAAGACAACATTATAGCAAAATATAAACTAAAAAACTGAAACTCAAAGAAATATACATAATCTGTGACTGTGATACATTTATTTATCTGAGATAAAATCATTCTTAATCGTAAAAAGATGTCATAAATCTATAAAGAACCATTTTCTTAAATTGAATTCAAGAAGTAAAAATCAAATGTTTGCCAAATATCTTAAGCAACAAATAACCACTCTAAATTTTAAAACTGAATTTTCAATTTTAATAACACAGCTAAAAAAATAAGGAAAGTATATTAAATAAACCATATTATTGAAGTAAAAAAGCAACATCATCTGAAATAATCTGATTCTAAAGTTTTTATATCAAAAAATGTTAGATTTATAAAAATATTTTAGCCTGAAATGCTTAGTAAGACCATACATAAACAGGAGGGTAATAATCAAACAGAAGAAGAATAATTAAGAAGAGACATGAAGCATTCTAGTGGAACATTATACATCAATCTGGCTTTTTACTTAACTTACTCAACAACTGGAGCCCTCATGGAAAATCTCTGACCTCACTTCACTGTACTTCCATTGTCCCAAAACTGAAATGCCTTGTAAAGGTTTCTGATTTAAAAAGGCATTGGATAAAACTCCGAGCTGTATTTGCTGTGGAGATCTAATGGGTAATAATGGGATAATTTATTCTAATTCCACATGCACATCAGAAACATGTTGAAAACCAGAAAAAAACAGTGATTTTCTGCAAGAAGATCTCTCTCATCATTCCTAAACCTGCAACCTTATCTTACTTCATGAGAAGTTGTACTGGAACTCAGAAACCCCTGAACACTGTGGGATCTAAATCAAAACATTTTGAGAGGGATCAGCATTATGACATGGGAGTTCTTGTCCTTAGGGGTGCACCTATCTAGACCATTCTGAACCTTGCTGAATGCAGTATTAGACTATAGAGATCTCATGAACCTGTTTTTAAAATTACTTCAGCATTCAGGATTGATGCAGCAGATTCAGAATTCAAGAAAAAATCAAAATTCTGCTAATTTATAACTGGATTCAGTTGAAAAACAGACAAAGTCAGCTTCATGATGAGTTTGGTCTTCAACACAGAATTGGAACAAAAAAGCGAAAACCTCCCCAAAAATGATTTTTTTCAAAAATCATCGGAAATCCCTCATATCTAATTTTTAAAGGAATTTCCAGTTTTATTTTGTCCGTTTCCCTGAATTTTTAGGGTTGGAAACCGGAATTTATACTGGTCTTATACTGGATTTCCCAATATTTTTGATACATTTCCTCATTTTTTGGGTCTGTTTCCAGTGCTCAGAAAAGTTTTAAATTCTCAGTTTGTTGATCGGTTTCCCCTGTTTTTGGGTCAGAAACAGACCCCAAAATAAAAGCGTAAATGGACCCAAAAAAAAGAGGAAACGGACCCAAAAAACAGCAATCAAATCAAATGTAAATATAGCAGAAACTGATTAAAAATATTTGGAAATCCCTCAACACTTTTCATATTTTGAGGGATTTCTGATAATTCTTGAAGGAAATGTACCAAAACTCACTTTTGGGTCCGATTCTGTGTTAAGGCGTTTCCATAGCACCATATATAGAGATACAAATTGCTATATCAACTATGTTCAGAATTACATATTATTCTTTAAGGGGGGGGGGGGTATGCAGATAATAAAACAAAGTTAAATAAAGTGAACAAGGGTAGAGAGAAAAAAAGAATATTGGAAACAATGATTATCTGCATTATATATGTATCAATTACTAGTCGCTAAAAAGTTGTAATTTGTAAAAAATATGAAAATAAAAATTTCTCAATTTGTAGAATAAGAAAATATCTTAACTCATAATTTATTGTTGAGCAATACTTTTCTCAATAAGATTGTAGACAAATATCCCTTTGAAGAAAACATATCTCTGAAATTGTATAAAAGACAAACTCTTGTTTTATTATTATTCAGATAAAAATGTAAGATTCCTGTTGTTAATCAGGCATGTATTGGAATAAAAAAATACATATCAAACCTTAATCTCATGTCATAAAACATAAAGCCAAGCAATTATTAGGTGAAAATTCCTTGAAAGGAATTAGACTTTGCCACAAACTCAAATATTCTAATCCTTATTACCTTTGACATTGAGATCATTTGATTGAAAAGAATCCATAGTTTGACATATCTAAAGTTTATGCCATTGAGCTTCAAATATTTAGAGATTAGAAAATCAAAATTTGTGGCAAAGACTTAATTCCTTTAAGAAAGTGTCACTTTAAAATTTGAGGCCAAAATTGTTGTGTTAGTGTAAGCCTTGTAAGGTGGCGCTAATCTGTAAAAATTAACCTCGATGTCCACTGTAACAAAGTCAAACCTTATAGAAATCCAACATATAGAAACCGCTATGTATAGCAACAAGGCATATTTTCCAGGAGAACATTTTTTATATATTTGAGAAATTAAATAATCAGTGTAAAGTAGATGTAATTTTCATAAAATCCTTTTATTTAAATGGTAAACCGGAATTTTATGAAATCATATTAGCATAACTGCAGGAGAACTATTTTATACTTTTAAGAAATTTTTAATCTAAAAATAAAACTGTAGATAACATTTTATAAAAAATTTTTTTTTAAATAGTAACATGCAATTTATGTATAACCATATAATCATTAATTTATGTTGTCAGTACATAATGAAATCTGGGGGACCTTAAACACAAAAGTGAGCAGTACAAATGTACATATTAAACTATTTTGCTCTATTAATGTCTAGGGTATGTTAAAAAAATTATGATAATGTTAATGATAAGCTACAATGTTTTACAAAACATTTGATCTCTCAAAAATATGAAAAATGTTCTCCTGGAAAATATGCCAATTGTTGCTATACGTAGCTGTTTCTATACGTTAGATTTCTATAATGTTTGACTTCCACTGTAACAACTTTTGAATTTGACAATTAAGTGTTTGATGTCAATCAGTAATTTAATCATTTGAATGTCAGAGCATATTGATATTTAAAAGTTTTTACCTCTTGATATATCATTACCACGAGAGAAAACAACTAAATTTAATAAAATGAATAATTTTGAAATTTTTCAATATAATTTATTTAAATTTTCCAAAAAACCGTGTGAATTCTCCATAGTCGTCACCAGACTTAGCTGTTCCAGACTACAAAATAAATTTGATTTGATATTTTTTTAGTTTTGTTTTCTTTCAGGACCCATAAAATAATGGAATATAAAGATGACTATTAGACACATTTTATGATTTCAAATATAGATCATGAATTGTTCAACAATTGTTCATTGTACACTAACACAAACCCATGCACTATGTTTTTAAAAAGTTACTTAAAATTAACTTGTGAAACAATTTGCAATTTTTCAATATTTAACACACATAAGATTGCTAAAATGTCGTCTTCCTGTTCCACAGTTTTAATGGTTTTAATATAGCTAGCATTTAATTTACTGGAACTAGATTCCCAGGTTGTTTTACATCTTCTTCTGGGTTTTCATCTAAAAATTTAAATAATTAATATTTGTAGCAATGTGTTACATAATAATGACAGTTGTTTACTATTTTATATGTACAGTGTTTAAAGTGGTGGTGAGGGTCAATCTAATTAACAAACTTTTATGTAAACCCGGGGGGGGGGGCAGCTTGTCTAAGGAGGGGTATTTAAACCTTTTAAAGAATTGGACATAAACAAAACTCTTTTTTTCATAAAAATACTGAATTAAAGTTTACAATTGAATAAAAACTATTTTTTTCTGTTCATTCCTGTGAGATTAGTCATAAAATCTTTGATGTATTTAGATTCTCATACTTAAAGTAAACTTCTCAAAAGGTCTCAAACCTTCTCTAGTACGCTAACTTTTAGATGGTAGAGTTCATGTCCAGGAAGGTTAAAATGTTCTCCTGTAGGCTGGTTTGTATGGAGGTTTCACTAATTAGGCATAATTATTTCAACATTTAGCAAAATTACTTTTGCAGAAATCACCCTGAATTATGAAGTAATTTCGCAAAATCGATGTTTGGCTAATTACGCATAATTATTACAAATTTCACGAAATAACGTTGTAGAAATTACGCAAAATTACGCTGTAATTTTGGGAAATTGAAGTTTTGCCAACTATGCAAAATCCTGTGAAATTACACAAAATGAAAATTATTTCTCGTAACTGCACGTAATTTCATGTAAGTGAATAACCTATTACGTTGGAAACCCTACTCCTGTTAGATATTATGCAGGTCCAATTGTATTGTACATTTGAATAGTTTGTTCTAAATCTTAATGACAGAAACACATCTCAAGAAATATAATAATTAAATTATTCTTTGAAAAGTGAACATTTACAAATTATCTTTTGACATCATAAGCTAAGTTCATTTCCCTTTTTCATTTGACAACTCTTTTTTTCTTTTTTAAAGTTTTTGTTTTGTTTATTTTCTTGTGACTTTTTTACATTTTTTAATATTAATTTTGATGGTTAGAGCTAAAGAGGGTCAACCCAGACTGGAATTTTTAATTTAAAAAATGTATAAATATTTTAATTGTGAGATTATTTACTTTGTGAAACTTGGAGCATCACCAAATTAAAAAAAAATCCAAACTATATGCAAAGATACTTTAAGAGACCTGCCTTTGCATGGATATTTTTGTATTTGTATACCAGGCTGTACATTAGCATCGTTCTCCCAAGTTTCCAAATCAAAATTTCAGGCAAATCGGTCCATGGGTTTATGAGTTATGGTCAGACATTCAAATCAGTCAAGGTGTTCAAGAGTTATAATTGGACATACAATAAAACAGAGATTACAACTTTATACAATCATAGATATTTTAGCTTGGGTACTCAGCGCTGCCCAGGTTACTTATAGTTAATCCCACCGTTTACCCGCACATGGTCGATTTTACTGGGAAACTAAACTTTGGCTATAAAAGTCATACCATTCTCAAAACCAAGCTAGAGAAAGGTTAACTAAATTCCCCAATCAGAATTTGAGGAAAATCAGTCAAGGGGTTCCTGAGTTAAGATCGGACAAATGAACAGACAGACAGACAAACAGAAATCACAACTTTATATATATATATTTACCTACAGTTTCCACAAGATATTGCTTAGCTTTGCTTGAGCTAAAGAACAGAGCCAACAATGTTACCAGAACCAGATACAGTTTCATCCTCAGTTTTACTTAATGATAAAAGTCTTTGTAACCTGATTTTCTAATACCCATATTTTTTCCACCTGATGGTGTAATCCTTTGATATTTCAAACTTAGATTCTTTCATCTAACATAATTCATAGTTGAAATATCCAAGGTCTAAGGCATTGGGTTGCAAAGATATAGAGATTAGAAAATCATAGTTTGTGACAAAGCCTAAATTTCTTTAGATAAAAAATTAGGAAAGTCAAGTTTTCTGAACTAAAAATGATCACCAAGTCAAACAAAAAATAAACAAACTACTAAAACAAATTTAATTGTGGAAATAAGTTTACTTAAAATGAAAACAAAATGCTGTTTAAAAGTTCACATGTTTTTTAAAACTTTTGTTATTTCCATATGTATTCAAGAAGCATTCAAGAGTGTCAACAAATTCATTTATATATTTTCATTCCAGAAATAGTATAAAACTACCCCAAAATTTTTGTAAAAAATTGAACATAGGTCATTGAAAAAGTTAGACTTTAACAAAAATAATGAAAATGTCTTACATATGCTTTAAGTCTGAATTTTAAATTTAAACTGATTGAACAAACTGCTATTTGTTGAATGAAACAAAATAAATCAAAATCAAGGCTAATTAAAAGTTATCAAATATTATAATTAAATAGAGAATTAATTAAGGTTGATTAGACTCCTATTTAATTCTAAATATATGTGATGTACAAATAAAACAAAACTTGAAATTATGTTAAGCGTAATTTTAAGTGGCCCTCCATGCAAAGATGGCTGTTTTGAAATTAGGCATTTGATCTATTCCCATTTTACTATATATAATATGTACAATTGCTGCGCGCACGCACGTATGTATGCCTGGATAAAATACCTATAGTTTCTACAAGGAAATGTTTAGCCACCACAGAACTAAAGAACAGAGCCAATAATGTTACCAGAATTAGATACAGCTTCATCCTTGAATTTTATTTAATTGTAAACTTGAATAAAAAGTTGAATAAAAATGAAAATGAACTATTATATAACTATAAAAGTTTTTCCTGCAAAGCATAAGATTCAGTTTTAAAGTTTAGAGTGGTTTTTTTGTTGCTTAAGACATTTTGCTAAAATTTGATTTTAAATCTTGAATTCAATTTAGGAAAATAGATTTATGACAGCTTTTTGAGATAAAGAAAGATTTTATCTCAGTTTAGTAATGGCTCACAGTCACAGATTATTTATATTTCTTTGACTTTAACACTTCTTTAGTTCATATATTGCTATAATGTTGTCTTACATTCCACAGTTATCTGGTTCTCACTAGATTGTATATATCTAAGTAATTATCTTGAATTAAACTTTAAACAAAAATTATCACACTATGATAGACCCTATTGATTGACACACCTCTCAGATACAGTGGCTTGTAGAAATTACTGTGAAATGATGTAGAACAATTAAGTTTTTCCATCAATATAATTTTCACAGTAGCGCGGTGGTAAATGCTTTGGAAAAGAGAAAAACAAAGTCTAGAGCAAGGAACCAGGATTAGGAGAATTGTGTGGTTATTGTTTCAACAATGATACATTTAAAAGTAGGTTGAAGACTGAATATCAAAAAAAAATTCAAAGTTCTCATACAACTTTCAAGTTGTCTTGCTAATGTCATGACATGAAAAAAAAGTTTATAACTAAAAACAAATTAATTGTATAACTCGTAGTTTAACTCTCCAATTATATATATTTAATATATATGGGAAGATTAAGAGGTTTGTATAACTTTTAATTATGCTGTATTTCTATATATTTTATTTTGTTTCGTAAATCATGATTAGCAGTTTATTTTTGTTAGATTTCTTCTGAAGGTTTGATTTTAAATCTTCAGTCCTAGATTCAAAGTTCGGACAGTAAGTGTGTAAGTAATTTGTTACCATTTTCCTCTTTTATTTTCTTATATTATCTTCTTTAACCCTTTCTCAATTCAGAGGGTTCCACCTCCCCCCTTGTGTTTTTTCTCCACAACTTAAAAAGCTTTATCACATTCTAATGTTTTTAAAACAAGAAAATATTGATTAACCCGATCTCAATTCTCAATTTTTTTCAAAGAGGTTAAATCTTTTGTGCTATATGGAAATCTCAGATCAAGCATTGATTTCCATCTTATGCAGGTCTAGGGATCAATTTAATTCCTCTTTAATATCCCAGGGTGGTTATGCTTTGCAGGAAAAACTTTTATAGTTATATAATAGTTCATTTTCATTTTTATTCAACTTTTTATTCACATTTACAATTTAAAAAAATTTAAGGATGAAGCTGTATCTAATTCTGGTAACATTATTGGCTCTGTTCTTTAGTTCTGTGGTGGCTAAACATTTCCTTGTAGAAACTATAGGTATTTCTACTATACTAGCTAAACTGCCCAGAATTGACATGTAGAATTTAAAAAAAAAAGAATTTTAATAACTTTGTTTTGTTTTTGCTTACATTACCCCCAAAGTGTTCATTTGTGGCATTTGTTTTCCTAAAAAATTCAGTTCCATTTGGCCAGCTATAGCTAACATATATATATCTAAACTAGGCTTTTAGGGCGCTTTGCACCCATCCTGTATTTCAACTTTTAATTGTGGCTTTATCTGTCAGCATCTTCTCTTTGTTTAGTATAAAACAAGAACAAATAAAAAATATTGCAGGTTCCATAATATGATTTCATAATATCGGGTGGGACCAAACATGAGCTGGGGAAGGTTTATGAATGATCAAAATTAAAAAGATTTTGTGCTTACAATTTTTTTATTTTTGTAAATTTTGAAAATGCGCAAAAAATATTATAAAATCAGCAAATTTTTTTTTTTATTTAATTTATATTGTACAAATAGAAGATGCTCTAAGGTAAAGCCACAATTAAAAATTGAAATAGAAGATGGGCATGAAGCACCCTGAAAGCCTGGAATATACTTTGCTTTTGCTTTCTTGTTTTAAATTTTTTTATTTTTTTATTTCAAAGTAATCCTTAAAAGCAATAAACATTTTGTAATAAAAGTTAGAGATGGCAGTTGGTAGAGTAGGGTGATAAAATGAAGTGGTTGACAAACATACAATTTATGTCTGTTTTAAGAATGAATATTGAAAATTTTTAAAAACATGGCTTTCATACTTTCAGAAGAAACTGTCTTGATTTTAGCACAATAAAAATGAATTAATTATATTTTTAGATGAAACCCCAGAAAAAGATGTAAAACAACCTAAGAATCAAGTTTCGGTAAATTAAATGCTCTACAGTAAGACCAATAAAACTGTTGAACAGGAAGACGACTTACAAGAAATCTTATGTGTATTAAATATTGATAAAATGTAGTTGTTTCAAAAGTAAATTTAAGTTAACCTTTTAGTATCCAGTAGGGTGTACTTACAATGAAAATATGTTGTTCATTAAGACCTAAATTTGAAATCATAAGTTTAGTCTTAGTGGTCATTATTTTCTGAAGTCCAAGTCCAAATATTTTTGAAAGAAGTTGTTAAATGAGTCTTAAGTAGCTCCTTAAAAAATAATTAATGTATAATAATTAATGCTTATATAACTGATTCAAATTCTAATGGGTCTGTGAACAATAGAAATTGTTGTGTTTCATGATTTATATTTGAAAACATAAATTGAATCTAAAAGTCGTCTTTCTATTCCACAATTTTATGGGTCCCACTTTACATAAAATAGATTTGAAAGAAGTTGTAAAAAAACCATAAGTAGCTCCTCAAAAACTTATGAATATATATATTGGTTAATTCTTATATTACTAATTTAAATTCTGAACAAAATTGTACTAAAAATTTAGTGTTGTTAATTGTTTTTGAAAGCAATAGTTCAACTATAATTTTTTGTTTCCTTTTCCAATCGTTTTCAAAAATGTTTGCTTTGTTTTTGGAAAAAACAATTGTTTTAAAAACAACCCACAATTTTTAAAAATGATAGTTTTTATAAAAATGAAATCCTTTTTATGCGTGATTGTTCCATTTTCAATTTTTCATTGTTGTTTTCTTAATGAAATGATTGTTTATCAAAAAAATTTAATTAATTAACTCTCTAACTTCAATATGCTTTAAAGATAAAAATGTTCAACAAATAAATATGGCTGTCATGACATTTATGTCATTTTTGGGTATAAAATAATTAGAAAATTTTAAGCCAAATTTATTTTACAGCCTGGAACCCCTGAGATTGGTGAAGATTATAGATTGGACAGATTAGAAGGATTTCGTCACTTGGGTTAAATTAATTTTGTAAAAGAAATTATATAAAAAAGTAAACTTCTTGCATATTTATTAAATTAGTTGTTTTTTGTAATGCTAATCAGATGTCCAGAGGTCAGAACTTTCTTCTTTTAAAGGAATTGTTCACTTATTTATGATATAAAGAAATTTTTAAAAATTTTAAATTATGACATTTACAATTAGATACTACAGATTAATTTTGTATTTAACATTTTTTTTAATCCAGGACATAGACAAAATACATCAAATAGTGGATAGACAATGGGACCATCTTTTAATGCACTAAAATTCTTAACAAAAAATCATCTTTTTCTCCGGCCACAGTTGTCTTTGAAAAGTAAGTCCAATACTAATCAATAGCCAATAAGCTATTTAATTTACCCCAAAATTACTCTAATAAGTGAATGGTGCCTTTAAACAATCAAAAATGATTTGTTATTTAATATTTAAAACCCATAAAAATGATTATTAAATCTTATTTCTTTGAATATTAAGTCTGAACCCTAGCCCTTGCTTGTAATGGCTAAAATATATGATTTATTCTACAATTTGATTTTATTATTCTTACAATAGGCAGGAAATAATGATTTTTAAACATTTCCTAAAAAATTGGAAAAATTTTGATAATAAAACCTGTTTGGTGCAATATTTTAGCGAAAATTTCAAGTGCAAAATTTCTGAAATTTTTCTGTTTTGGCGGAAAATTTGACACCCTACTGGTGCAACTCTATAACTTAAAAATTGAAGCTAAGAATATTTCCAATCCTTGCTGTTTCTCATTGTTTAGAGTAAATAAACAGCGACATCACATCCTTGATTCACTGCAACTGTACCCTTTAAACCTTTGACTGATCATCAAGAAGTACAAAAGAGAACTCAGTAAATATATCTATTAAATGCTGTGGAAAATGCAGTAAAATAAGAGTGTACTCTAGCTTACAGTGGGATCTCAATACGGATGAAGATACACATTTTCTAGTAAATTATTCAAAGCTTTTTTCATAATTAAGAATGTGAATATTTATATTCTTTCACTTCAAGAAAGTAAATATCATTATTCCTTAAATATAAAACAGATTGCACAAAAGTGTTAAACAAAATCAAGCAAGTAGATAAACATCTGTCATCCTTGATCAGTCAAAAGTGTACAAATGTGAATCAAGGTTAACCCTAATGAAGATCAAAGCTGGATCCAGAGATTCATATTCCAAAAGTTCTGACTTCAGAACAAATTTAACAAATTCCTGGGTAAACTAGTTCCTGGCTGCCCATTCTATAAATATTTATAATATCTCTTCATGAATAAATTTAGAATTTGGCTTGAGATAAAAACAAGATTTAGAACATTTTCAACATATTTCAATATATCATCAGAATAGAGTTGTTTCAATAGTTTGAATGGTTTGAACATACATAAATTTTATTTTATTTCTCACATGTAAAACTGGATTTTTAAAAATGTACAATATATTTATCTTTATTACAAATATTGACAGCATCGTTTTGAGTGGAAAACACTGCCTTTGTATCTTTTTCAGAATCAGGGACTAATCTATAAATAAAAGGGACGGTGTAATTTCAAGATGCAAAAATGACAATGCCTGATACACAACGGTACCCTGGAAAGTTTTGTCTGATCAAGTATAAATTATATATCAACATTTTTTTTTTTTAATTGTTTTTTCTTCTGTGCATTTCTTGTTTATAAGAAGCAATATAGTGAAACTCACAGAAGTAAATACTCTTCGTGTCAGAAAAAGAACGGGTTTTCCACATTTTTGATCAGATTAAGGTTTCAAGGGTAACTTTGTAACTCAGGGATTGCCATCTTTGCATGGAGGGCCACTTAAAATTACGCTTAACATAATTTTAAGTTTTGTTTTATTTGTACTTCACATATATTTAGAATTAAATAGGAGTCTAATCAACCTTAATTAATTCTCTATTTAATTATAATATTTGATAACTTTTAATTAGGCTTGATTTTGATTTATTTTGTTTCATTCAACAAATAGCAGTTTGTTCAATCAGTGTAAATTTAAAATTCAGACTTAAAGCATATGTAAGACATTTTCATTATTTTTGTTAAAGTCTAACTTTTTCAATGACCTATGTTCAATTTTTTACAAAAATTTTGGGGTAGTTTTATACTATTTCTGGAATAAAAATAGATAATTGAATTTGTTGACACTCTTGAATACTTCTTGAATACATATGGAAATAACAAAAGTTTTAAAAAACGTGTGAACTTTTAAACAGCATTTTGTTTTCATTTTAAGTAAACTTATTTCGACAATTAAATTTGTTTTAGTAGTTTGTTTATTTTTTGTTTGACTTGGTGATCATTTTTAGTTCAGAAAACTTGACTTTCCTAATTTTTTATCTAAAGAAATTTAGGCTTTGTCACAAACTATGATTTTCTAATTTCTATATCTTTGCAACCCAATGCCTTAGACCTTAGATATTTAAAACTATGAATTCTGTTAGATGAAAGAATCTAAGTTTGAAATATCAAAGGATTACATCATCAGGTGGAAAAAATATGGGTATTAGAAAATCAGGTTACAAATACTTTTATCATTAAGTAAAACTGAGGATGAAACTGTATCTGGTTCTGGTAACATTGTTGGCTCTGTTCTTTAGCTCAAGAAAAGCTAAACAATTTCTTGTGGAAAGTGTATAAAAATATGTATATATAAAGTTGTGATTTCTGTTTGTCTGTCTGTCTGTTCATTTGCCCGATCTTAACTCAGGAACCCCTTGACTGCTTTTCCTCAAATTCTGATTGGGGAATTTAGTTAACCTCCGGGAATCTCCTTAGCTTGGTTTTGAGAATGGTATGACTTTTATAGCCAAATTTTAGTTTCCCAATAAAATCGACTATATGCGGGTAAATGGTGGGATTAACTATAAGTAACCTGGGCAGCGCTGAGTACCCAAGCTAGAATATCTATGATTGTATAAAGTTGTAATCTCTGTTTTATTGTATGTCCAATTATAACTCTTGAACACCTTGACTGATTTGAATGTCTGATCATAACTCATAAACCCCTGGACCGATTTGCCTGAAATTTTGATTTGGAAACTTGGGAGAATGATGCTAATGTACAGCCTGGTATACAAATACAAAAATATCCATGCTAAGGCAGGTCTCTTAAAGAATCTATGCATATAGTTTGGATTTTTTTTTTAATTTGGTGATGCTCCAAGTTTCACAAAGTAAATAATCTCACAATTAAAATATTTAAACATTTTTTGAATTAAAAATTTCAGTCTGGGTTGACCCTCTTTAGCTCTAACCATCAAAATTAATATTAAAAAATGTAAAAAAAGTCACAAGAAAATAAACAAAACAAAAACTTTAAAAATGAAAAAAAGAGTTGTCAAATGAAAAAGGGAAATGAACTTAGCTTAGGATGTAAAAAGATAATTTGTAAATGTTCACTTTTCAAAGAATAATTTAATTATTATATTTCTTGAGATGTGTTTCTGTCATTAAGATTTAGAACAAACTATTCAAATGTACAATACAATTGGACCTGCATAATATCATAATAACAGGAGTAGGGTTTCCAACGTAATAGGTTATTCACTTACGTGAAATTAAGTGCAGTTACGAGAAATAATTTTCATTTTGTGTAATTTAGCGTAATTGGCAAAACTTCAATCTCGTGAAATTACACCGTAATTTTGCGTAATTTCTACAACGTTAGTTCGTGAAATTTGTAATAATTATGCGTAATTAGCAAAACATGGATTTTGCGAAATTACTTCATAATTCAGGGTGGTTTCTGCAAAAGTAATTTCACTAAATGTTGCAATAATTACGCCTAATTAGTGAAACCTCCATACAAACCAGCCTACAGGAGAACATTTTAACCTTCCTGGACATGAACTCTACCATCTGAAAGTTAGGGTACTAGAAGGGTTTGAGACCTTTTGAGAAGTTTACTTTAAGTATGAGAATCTAAATACATCAAAGATTTTATGACTGATCTCACAGGAATGAACAGAAAAAAATAGTTTTTATTCAATTGTAAACTCTAATTCAGTATTTTTATGAATAAAAGAGTTTTGTTTATGTCCAATTCTTTAAAAGGTTTAAATACCCCTCCTTAGAACAAGCTTCCCCCCCCCCCCCTGATTTACATAAAAGTTTGTTAATTAGATTGACCCCCACCACCACTTTAAACACTGTACATATAAAATAGTAAAAAACTGTCATGATTATGTAACACATTGCAACAACTATAAAGTATTTAAATTTTTAGATGAAAACCCAGAAGAAGATGTAAAACAACCTGAGAATCTAGTTCTCAGGTTAAATGCTAGCTATATTAAGACCAATAAAACTGTGGAACAGGAAGACAACATTTTAGTAATCTTATGTGTGTTAAATATTGATAAAATGCAAATTGTTTCACAAGTTAATTTTAATTAACTTTTTAAATATAAAGTGCATGGGTCTGTGTTAGTGTACAATGAACAATTGTTTTTTTTTTTTAATGATCTATATTTGAAATCATAAACTGTGTCTAATAGTCATCTTTATATTCCATTATTTTATGGGTCCTGAAAGAAGTTGAAAACAAAACTAAAAAAATATCAAATCATATTTATTTTGTAGTCTGGAACTGCTAAGTCTGGTGACGACTATGGACAATTCACATGGTTTTTTGGAAAATTTAAATAAATTATATTGAAAAAGTTCAAAATTATTCACTTTATTAAATTTAGTTGTTTTCTCTCATGGTAATGATATGTCAAGAGGTAAAAACTTTTAAATATCAATATGCTCTGACATTCAAAGGATTAAATTACTGATTGACATCAAACACTTAATTGTCAAATTCAAAAGTTGTTACAGTGGAAGTCAAACCTTATAGAAATCTAACATATAGAACAGCTACGTATAGCAACAATTGGCATATTTTCTAGGAGAACATTTTTCATATTTTTGAGAAATCAAATGTTTTGTAAAACATTGTAGCTTATCATTAACATTATCATAATTTTTTTAACATACCTTAGACATTAATGGAGCAAAATAGTTTAATATGTACATTTGTACTGCTCTCTTTTGTGTTTAAGGTCCCCCAGATTTCTTTTTTTAGATCTAAATATTTATTTTGTAGCAGAGATTAAGATATTACAATTGTATTACAAGTTTACACTTTCATAAATGGAAAAACTACATTATTTATTTTCTATATAAATTATTCATGTGATAGACACAGATTAGACTTTGTATGCCAGTGCAATATTTCGCAGCTGACTCCCTCGTCATCAATTGCTGAGAAACAACAGAACTTCCTGTAGTTGTTAACCAACTGATATTTAATTTGGTTGTCTACTTTTTCATATGCTCTAATTAAGTTGTGTTTCTATATATTTGGTTTTGTTTCATGAATCATGATTAGCAGTTTATTTTTGTTAGATTTCTTTGGAAGGTTTGATTTTAAATCTTCAGTCCTAGATTCAAAGTTTGAACAGTAAGCATGTAAGTAATTTGTTCTTATTTTCCTCTTTTATTTTCCTATATTATCTTCTTTAACCCTTTCACAAGTCAGAGGAATTCCACCTCCCTGTCTTGTGCTTTTTCTCCACAACTTAAATACCTTTATCACATGTTAATGTTTTTAAAACAAGAAAAATATGTTTAATATTCTTCTAAGGGACTTTTTGAATTTCTCTATAACCCTTACCTTTAAATGCAAGGGTCTAATTAACCTGATTAATTTATTGATTAACCCAATCTCAATTCTCGATCTTTTAAAAGAGGTTAAATCATTTGAGTTACATGCAAATCTCAGATCAAGCATTGACCTCCATCTTATGCAGGTCTAGGGCTCAATTTAATTCCTTTGCAGGAAAAACTTTTATTGTTATTAAATAGTTCATTTTCATTTTTATTCAACTTTTTATTCAAGTTTACAATTTAAAAAAATCTAAGGATGAAGCTGTATCTAATTCTGGTAACATTTTTGGCTCTGTTCTTTGGTTCAGGCATAGCTAAACATTTCCTTGTGGAAACTATAGGTATTTCTACTCTACTAGCTAAACTGCCCAGCGTTGCCATGTGGAATTTTTTAATTCCTAAAAAAATTCAGTCAGTTTGTTCCAGCCCTTTGACCAGCTATAGCCAACATATAATGTCTGCATTAGGCTTTTAGGACACTTTGCACCCATCCTGTATTTCAACTTTAAATTGCGGCTTTATCTGTGAGCATCTTCCTTTTGTACAGTATAAAACAAAAACAAACAAAAAAGATTGCAGATTTCATAATATGATTTCATAATATCGGGTTGGAACCACACATGAGCTGGGGAAGGTTTATGAATGATCAAAATTTTAAAAATGTGTGCTTAAAAGTTTTTTATTTTTGGGCGCAAAACGCCCTTAAAGCCTGGTATATATATACTTTGCGTGGGTTTCTGGGTGATTGCTGTTTGTTTTTATTCAATAAAAGGCAAAAATTCTGAATCAATTGAGATCAAATTTTGTGTGGGACCTAACAGGATTAAAATTTCGCCTCCAACAAAATTTTAATTTTATTAAAGTTTAAAAATCCACCATATTTTTTTTATAAATTCTGTCAACTTTTTTGTTTTTGTTTTCAATGTATGCAAAGAGAAAATATTCACAATTGAAATAGAAGATGGCCAGGAAGATCTACAGTAAGAACCATAACACTCTGTAATAACAACACAACAAATGTTGAAGTGAAATACTCAAATAAACACAAGACATAGCAGTTATGGAGTGTGAATAGAGAAATTTCAATTAGTAGATAATTTGATAAGTGCCTATAGTGAAACTATTTGTTTTGTAAAAACATCAAATATACCTAAGTGTGCTAAGTCGTCTTCATATTCCACAGTTTGCTGGTTCTCACTGTATATTTATATTCCTCTATTCAAGTACATTTGTTCTAACTAAACAATACAAAGAATATTTAGATATTTAATTATTTATTATTTTTGTATTTTCCTATTTCAAAGTAATCCTTGAAAACAATAAACATTTTGTGATAAAGGTTAGAGATGGAAGTTGGTAGAGTAGGGTGATAAACTGAAGTGGTTGACAAACATACAATTTATGTCTGTTTTAAGAATGAATATTGAAAATTATTTTAAAAATGCAACATTGCTTTCATACTTTTAGAAGAAACTGTCATGATTATGTGACACATTGTGTGTTTTTTTAAACAACAAAAATTAATTATTTATATTTTTAGATGAAAACCCAGAAGAAGATGTAAAACAACCAGAGACTCAAGTTCCAAATTAAATGCTTGCTACAGTAAGACCCAAAAAACTGTGGAACAGAAAGACTAAATTTGAAATCATAAGTTTAGTCTTAGTGGTCTTCCTATTCTGCATTCCATGGTTGCCACTGTACAACTTTATAATTAAATTATATTTGAAAGAAGTTGTTAAATGAGTCAGAAGTAGCTTCTCAAAAAATAATGATAATATATTGGTTAATTCTTATATTACTGATCTAAATTCTGAACAAAATATTACTACAATTAGAGTTGTTAACCCTATTCCCGCTGGGGGGGGGGGGAATTTGCCCCCCCCCTGTAGTTTTTTTTACATAACTCAAAAAGTATTGGTCTGAGGCTGTTGAAATTTTCTGACTTTTCTTACATACCCAAAGCCCTCCCTTTAGGCCTAAAACCGGGCTTTAATACTAACTGCCTGAGTCCTCAGGCACACTGCCTGAATGACTGCTTTTGCCTGTAACAAACTAAATCTTTGTTTTGACCCACTTTCACTTGTCAGATTTTGATAAAATTTAGCTTTTTGGAAAGCCTATGACATAAGGAAACGGATTGCATAAGTTTTGCGAAAAAAAATTGCTAATTTTTTTCAAAAACATCCTGTCAAAGGAAATTTGCACATTTTTAGTTTTTCTTGATTAAAAATCAGGTTATTTAAAATTTTGCAAAAATTTTTGCATATTTGAAATGGCATGGTCAAGGGCTTTTCAAAAATGTATAATTTGTCATTTTTTGGACAATTTTTTTTTTGCAAACATTTCTACCATAAAACTGGATTTTGTGATAAAAAATTCAATTTTCGCAAATTTGCAATTTTTTTTGCAGATTCTAAAAGTAGAGCACAAGAGCTTTCTAATGATGTATCATTTGTCATATTTGGACATAAAACATGGGACCCCCCCCCCCAGCGTATCCTGGTTTTCAAGTACCCCAGCAGGGATAGAGTTAATAGATTGTTTTCTATTTCGTTTTTCAATGGTTTTCAAAAACGATTGATTCATTTTCAATTTTTCATTGTCCTTTTCATAAGGAAACGATCATTTTTCAAAAAATTGAAATTGTTTACAGCCATAACTACAATACGCTTTAAAGCTACAAAACGTTCAACAATTACACATGGCTATCAGTTATGGCATTTTTGAGTGAAAATTTTTATTTTTAATTTTAAGCCAAATTTATTTTATAGTCTGGAACTGCTGAGCTTGGTGAAGATTATAGCTTGGATGGAGACGCAACACTACCATTTCGTCGCAGGGGTTAAAATTATTTTAGTAAAATAAATTATATTAAAAAAGTTAACTTATTGCATATTTATTAAAACCAATTGTTTTCTGTGATGCTTATCAGATGTCCAGAGGTCAGAACTTTCTTCTTTTAAAGTCACTGTTCACTTAAAAAGTTTTTAAAAAAAAATTTAGATTGTGACATTTACAATTAACTATTAGATATTACAGTATAATTTTGTATTCAACATTTTTTTTAAAAAAGTCACAAGAAAATAAACTTTGAATTTATTTTTGATATTCAGTTTTCAACCTACTTTTACATATTTCATTGTTGAAAAAATAACCACACAATTCTCCTAATCCTGGTTCCCTGCTCTTAACCTTTTCTCTTTTCCAAAATATTTACATTATTTAACAGTAATTTCTACAAGCCACTGTATCTCAGTGGCAGGGTCTGTGCACCATTGATTTTGACATGACTGAAAGCCTGATATTTCTTGACCTGGTTCTACGACCAGTGGTATATGCCTTGCACCTTATTTCATAACATCAAGAGGTCTGTGGTAATCCAGACATTTAATGTATGCAATAAAGTATGCTTGGGTTCCATTATAGTGCAGGGTTACCAATCAAGGATGAGACTTCAGAGACAACTGTACAGAATGCATTCTGTATACAGGCAACGATGGGCACTTCAGCTAGTATAGTATATATATTGTATATATATATATTTATATATATATATATATACCCTTTTTTCTTCATTTTCCTATGATTGGATGATTGCATAAAAAGCATGAACCAAAATTTTGTAGAATACTCCACATTTAAATGTAATGATTGTAAAAGATAAACCAACCCTATTATAAATACAATTTCAAATGTTATGACATTTGAAATAATGGCTTAAATGTTAAAGACTTATTCCCTGTATTAGGATTAGGATTAAACCCCAGAGAGTGTTTAATTCTAATTCTTCGATAAATTACTCTAATTAAGGTTTCACTGTGTCTAGAAATTCAAACCATAAAATTACAACTTTAGTTAAATGTTATATCTACAAAATTACTTAAATCTGTACAATCTAGTGAGAACCCAATAACTGTGGAATATAAGACGACATTAAAGCATATATAAACATAATCTGTGACTGTGATACATTTATTTATCTGAGATAAAATCTTTCTTAATCGAAAAA